CAGACTCTTTACGCAATTTACCGTTGCCACGATATTTATCAAACCTGAGTGGCCAGAATTCACAAATACAATTATTTAAAATGCGATGCACCATATTTACCTCTTTCAAATACTCATCTCTATCACTGCGCCTGAATCCTACCGGAAGACAAGAACATAAAGGCACAGTTCAAAAAAAGCCACAACATATTGTTGGTTTCTTTAAATTTACTTATCTAGCTGACGCTTTTGTTCAAAGTGACACAGAACCAAGGGAACTTTGGAGTCAGGCAGCAGAATCAGCTGAAACCTCTGGGTAGCTGGGTTTAATGGCATTGGTCAAGGGCCCAATGGCGATATGATCACTCTGCCAGCCAGGGGATTTGAACCCATGTCCTTCAAGACATGGGCACAAATTTGTAATTTGCTGAGATCCACGCTGACTTTGATTCTTCTGTGGGTTTGCTTAATTTGGATTATTTGCTAGATGTTCTTCCAAACAGGGAACACGTGGGCAGGACTTAGAGGAAAAGTTCACAATGCAAACTGTGAACACACACAAACGCACAGATTTAATATTAAGATTGCATGTTCTTTCACTTTTTACTTCCACATTCTGGGAGTTATTACGTTGCGCTGCACACTGCGGATGGGGATTAAGTGGCAAAGCAACTTATGAAGCCGTCACGCTCTGGCGATGTAGACCCTAAGCACTACAGCAGAGCCGAAATATTCCTACCATGCGCTCCATACGCTCCCAAACACACGGCAAGTGACCCCGACACTCCGGCTATTTTCTGCACGATCACCGTCGCCGACATCCTCCTTTAGGGGGCTGCGGACGAGAAGGCGAAAACGAGGTCATTGGACATCTACTGTTAGGGGACATGACCGGGACCGCGGAGCCAATGCGGCGATCGGGGTCGACTAAGCGCCACGCACAATGTCAGGGATATATCATCCCTTTGCTAGTCACTGCTGATGAAAAATAAAATATTACCTTTAACTGTATCGCTAATAAATCGGACCTACTGAAACCAAATCGATCGTTATTCAAAGTCACATGTGACACTAGCGACGCATAACCAAGCCCACTGGAGTCAGCTTCCTGGTAATTTAAAGTGTAGCGTTGACGTTTAGCTGAGCGTCACTTCCCTGCTGCGCTCATTTCTTTACCCAATCAGATTACGGCGTCGGCGTTGCGTATTTCAGCGATGCTGAAAAACATGGTGACTCTTCAAAGACGGGCGTACCCTTCTGATTATACTTTACGTGAATTTAAAACACTCCTCCGAGGGTCATGCCGCGGTGTGTTTCATTCTCACTTTCCTCGCTTCGCGAATCGCCTGCTTAATCTCATATGTATAATTCACATGACGTATAAATAATAGCAGTGGAATCATATTGAATATTTATAGTTCAACATTTTCACTTTACAGTCATTTTCATTTTTATGAAAATTTTCACTAGCGCTATTTAGATGGTCGTTGCGGTCGAAACAAATTAAAAACTTAATTAGCATGTATTTTTACATAATTTCTGAAGGGAATTGTAACATAAAAGTAACATGTTAATGAATTAATTAAATTTAATGAACTTAATCACAACTTAATTACCTGAAACTGTTATTTTTATGGATTCTCGCAATTTAAGCCAATTTCGCTGCTCACCCCTATGGCAATTTAAAGTTAATAAATTCCTCCCAAGAACATACAGGAGGTGGCGCTATTTCACTGTTTGTGTTTCACAATTAATTTGACATGCAGTTAGCTGGAGTGATGCCCTCCAGAGCAGAGGACGTCGTAACAAGAATAAACAAACATGCTTTCACATTAGTCTTTGATTAAAAAAAGAAAAAAGCATTACCTTGGTTTAAATCCAATTAATTTATTTTTGTAATTAGCACATTTTAATTACAGCCAGTTAAAAGCCTGGGGTATTCCATCTACATCTGGAGAACGTACCCTGGAGATGCGCGAGAGGCAGTTATGGCAAGTAAGTGCTGAACCCAGGACCATCCAGCCCTAATGTGCACACACACGTATGCACACACATGGAGTAGGCCTATCCTGAAGATACAAACATGCATTATTTTCTCATGATCTCCGCAGTTCATATTAATATGCGGGTTTTATAGCTAGAAACACCAACCAAAACCTAGAGTGTGTGAGTAATTTTAGTCTGCCTGGGAGTAAGGCTGGGGAGGTCCAGGATGCATATGATCGCTGCCTCTTATTGGCCTGCTCCACTGTCCCGGTGACAGCTGGAATTCCGCTCTCCGTGTGTACAAGCTGTGAATAGGGATGTCACCCCTATTCGAGTTTTCGTCAGCATTACCTTACTTGCATCACACAGCAAATAAAGCGCCTGCATTGTTTTTTTTTTTCTTTTTTTTTTTTATTATTTTAAGAAATTGGCCCACCCGTGATATATTTTTAAGCAAAAGAGATGAAACAGATGACGACAAGTGTTTGATATTTGCTTTTAATAGGTAAGCAACAGATTGTTTGAAGCCACATGTTCCCGGTTACTGCCTCGCGATCCCCGCGTCTGACAGCTGCTTCCCACAACGTGATACATGTTGATCGACAGCAGTTCATATCAGATTGTTTGCCTCCAGCAGTTCCCATATAATTTGGCTCTTTAGAAAACAAACGCCGAATGCTCTCAGTGTGGAACACGTTAATTTATTATTATTATTTGAGAACATAAAATATGTGTGAAAGGAGACAAGTGATTCAAGCGTTAATGGGAGGATGGGAAATTCAAGTCTAATATAAGGGTAAGAAATAACTAGATGAACGAATGACAGGACGCTTGCAGGCGATGCTGGGCGGCAATACTGTGCACCGTCACTCATCGCCGCATAATCCTGTCCGCGTTAGTTACCTCCTCATGTCCCTTCGCGTTAAAAACATAGCAGTGATCAGCAGTTCTCAGCAATTCCACCAACGTGGGTTTCAAAGCTTGATTCCGGCGCGCATCACTAATGCCTTTAGTAAAGGAACCTCCTTCTGTGAAGTTTAAATACCCATTTTACCTAACGAAGCAGGCGTTCTTTTGTTTCTCTATCTAGTTTGATCCCATTTGCACTGCTGGATTTTTCAGAAGATCAATTTAGGGTCAGTACCTGATCAAACGGTGTGGCAGTTGGCTCCTTCTTTGATGTGAGCCACTGACCTGCATGTTGTAATCCCATGTCCTTAAACACTATCCTCAAAGGCGAGGTCTGCCCATCCGTGTGTCAAGCAGGCCGCTATTGAGCTGTCTTCCTTCACTTTGATAGTTGAACATTTCTATTCTGGTGTGTGTAGCAATGGATATATTGCAGCTCATCTTGTAGACCGTCGATATAGATCTTGATCATTCTCCAGTAATAGATTGCAATGAACTGTTTGAATGACTGTTAATCTCTTTTATAGTTCATAATGGAATATTTTAGGTGATGTTTAATTCAGTTTTAAGTGGTTATTTATGGATAGAGCCCCTTTTTAGCGAGGTACATTGTAAGTGGGGAGAATTTGCGTGTGAGTGTTTCTCCGAGTTCTGTTGGGATTCCTGTATGGACAGCCCAACTCAACACTGCCTTGTACTACAGTGCATCCTCAATAATACATCACAGTCCTCCCAATGCACTGGGCCAGCCCGTGGTGCCGTGTTTAAGTAGACAGAGTCAGCATGTCTTCGATGGGATTAAGCAACAGGGGAGCAAATGGCCTGCCCCCATGCACTTCAGGAGTGTGTGTGTGTGTGTGCTGTAAGTTTCTGACTGTTTCATCATTGCTTGTTTTTATTTTCTGCAAGCAGGAATTTCATTATTTTGCCCGATTCACTTCTTCCATCCATTGTAATGGGGTGTCCTGGAAGCAGGCTCTGGGTCCACCAGAAAAAGTTCAAAAATGTCAGTATCTGCTTTCGCCCAAGCCCAGTGTCATTGCCTCTGCATGCTTCGTGGTCATAGTGGGAAAGGCGACGGGGCCTTTTTGTAATTAGTAACCTCATTAAGCTCATTTGCATTTCTCTTCAAATGGGGATCGATGTAGTTTGAGATTTTGCCACTGGCTTCAATTAAAAGCATGTGTGGCCCACAGTCACCATAGCGACAGGCTGTGTAAACGTTATTAAAAAAAAAAAAAGTCAATGTCTTCGAGTGATCACTAGTTGTCACCACAACTCTGTCCCACTCAAGATATACTGAGCTTTAATCCAGCTCAACACGCTCTTTAAAAATCTGATACGAATGAGTTTGTGGAATTAGACTAAATCTCTTGATGCAGCTGAAGTGTGACTGAGTGCCAACTGTAAATTCAAAAAGGCTACATGAATTGTGTTACTCAGGATTGTAGTTTTCTTGTTCTGTCATATAGCTTAATCTTCAGTTTTAAAATTTCCAACCAGCCTTCATACTTCTGGAGTATAGTTAAGTGTTTTCCAATCCCTCTGTAGATCTCTGAAATGTAGCTAGGACTTTTCCAATAAGTGCGTAGATCTGAGTTGTGGTTTGAATCTCTTCCATCTCTCGGTAGATCTCTGCGATACAGATATGAGTTCCCCAGTCATCTGGTAGTTCTCAAAACTGTTGTTAGAAATATATCTGTATCACTAAGCTGCCTGTAGTGTAGTGTCTGTCAATTTCAGAGTTATACATAGGAGATGTCGAACAGCAGCAATGACTTATATAAAGGTCATGTGTTTTTAAGGAGACATACAGCAGGATGAGACCGTCTGTATGCGTATATGGTAACATAGATGAATATGATACGGTAAATATGTTTTAGACTTGTATTAGGACACTCAGATCAGCTTGAGGCATTGGACGATGAACTGACTTAGTCTGACTGTCACACCTGGGTGTTAGGACAGTCGGCAGGTTTCCTCCTGATTTGGGAGCTGGACGTGAGATCTTATTGGTATAGCATTCTCAAAGGTTTACTCATTTTCTGTTACCTTATTGACAACAAGTTCAACAGTCATCATAATGGCTAAAACAGAGACGTGTAGCCAGAGGACCACAGATCGCCAGAGTCAGTCTTCTGCCTGTGCCTGAAACGAGTCTGCAAATGGACCAGCTGTAATAATGGATCATGTTAGCTGTTGCAACTAATCCTGGATGAAGGCATCTGCTAAACAGGAAAATGATGAAAATGTCTCAGGTTAACCATGTTAGTGTGTAAATAAATGAAACATAATAGCAAAATAATTAGCAGGTTTAGCAGCTTTGTCATAATCATGTTGCTAATAACTTAAAACTGTGCCATTGTCATTATTCACATTGGAAACAAAACTAAAATCCCATTTCATCTACAGTCAGAGATCATTCAAAGCAACACAAAGAAACGGGAGCTGGTCATACTCAGTGCGAAAAAGACGAGAATGTTGCATATCCTCCTTTTCAGTGCGGGTCATGAGGGGCTGGAGCCAATCCATGGAATCATGGGGCGCAGGAGAAAAGGCAGGATGGATCCCCAGTCCATCACAGGGCAACCACTCACAATTAAACATTATTGGGGATTCACAGATAGCAGAATGTGGATATGGAACTAAATGAAAAATATATTAAGGATAAGCAGTTATTGTTCATTTCAGATCTGCTGATATTTGCTTAATGCTGACTGGTGATCTGCATGTACATTTCATTCCCTGGTGTTCCAGCTTCTGATATAGGGGGCACCCTTCGAGAAAATGTCAAAATGTCAAATTTTCAAGATCTCCCACTCCTGAATAAAACATAATACTCACCCCCCTCTATCCTGGGGATGCTGCAAGAGCAACCAAAACATATATATTTAAATAAGTAATTAGGTAATTAGGATGCAAGGCAAACGATCCGATTAAATATCGGTGTCTGGTTTGCCGTCGCTCTGTCAGTGTCGGCACACCGAGGAGGTGCGGTAATTAGCCACTGGCCCAGTGTCTGGTGCCAGAATGTTCGTCGGCACAATTAGGAGCAGCTGCCACAGGAGCGTGAGAGCGGCATGTGCGGAGTCCCGCCACGTTGCCTCCGTGAAGGCAGAGTGTTAAATTTGCCTCTCGTTGCACCCGCTGTAACCGGAGGCAGCTGTCTGTCTGCGTTCCATGTGGTCCACCAGCCCACCCGCGCACACTGCCATGCATAGACATCTGCTTCTAAAAGGGGGCCTGAGGATGGGGAACCCAGCAGGAGAGCACACCATGGGGACAAACACCGGCACATGCATAGGCCCTGGGGACAAACACCGGCACATGCATAGGCCCTGGGGACAAACACCAGCACATGCAATGGCCCTGGGGACAGATAGCGGCACATGCAATGGCCCTGGGGACAGATACTGGCACACAGAGACCCAGGGGACAGAAAACTGCAGATGCATGGACCCTGGGGATGGTCACCTCCAGATGGACAAGTTCTATGGATTGATTCCACCACATGCACAGACCTTGGGGACAGACACCAGTACATGCATGAGCCCGGGGGACGTACACCAGTACATGCACGGGCCCTGGGGACGTACACCAGTACATGCACGGGCTCTGGGTATGTACAGCAGTACATGCACGAGCCCTGGGGATGTACACCAGTACATGCACAGGCCCTGGGGATGGACGGCTCCACATGCACAAGCTCTAGGGACTGATTCCACCACATGCAAAGACCTTGGGGACAGACACCAGTACATGCATGGGCCCTGGGGATGGACACATGCACATGCACAAACTTTGGGGACTGATTCCACCCAATGCACCCTGGAGGCACATGCACAAGCCCTGAGGACAGACACCTGCACATACACAGGCCTTGGGCACAGACACTGGTGCATGCACAGACCCTGGGGACTGATACCTGCACACATCCATGAGTGCAGGGGAAGAGACAGCAGCGAACACACATGCTCACACAGACCCTAAGCATGGACACCTGCCTATGAAGAGTATCCACATGTACACATACACAGGGGAATGAATACACACTCTATCACAAGAACTAAGAGAACACCTGCACCCACATGGGCTCTAGAGAACGATTTACTCCACTCACAGGAACAATAGGGATGGAACAGTTATGCCCCCAAAGTGGCCCAAGGGGAAAAGGACCTCATCAAACAAATCCCATCGTTCTCCAGTGTGGTAGTATGGTAATACGCTTTGTTCCCCAACAGCAATCAAACCGGAGAAAAGTGCACTGTGCAAACATTCAGATAAGCGGTCGACCATGCAAAAAAAAAAAAGCCAGAATGATTAAAACAGAGCTCTCAGGCCTCACCATCTATAATGTCTCAAGACAGCAACTAACCCTACTTAGCTCACTACTTTATGTCTTTTTTTCCAGCACAGCAATGACTACCACCATGGGGTTTATATATACACGTGTGAGTGTTTAGGTGTTGGTGTGGAGTCCTCTGGTGCCCCAAATTTTTGGATCTGTCCTGGGGGGCATCCTCCATAGAGTTCCCTGACAACATACCAAGCTATGTGCTCATGCATCAGTGCCCTCGCCTGTGTGTTTCCATGTTTGTGTGTGTGAGTGTCTCTAGGAGTGCGAATCCATGCCTGTGCAGTCACACGTTTGGCCGCTCTGTGAGGAAGCTTTATGGGTGGATTTTGCGTGGCAGGAACCTTTGAGGTGCTCCGGAGGCCCTTTAACTGATCGCTTTCTGGAGTATTACAAGATCAAACAAACCCGTACTAATAGAAACACTCCAGCTCTTTGCAGAGCTTGATGCTGCCAAAGGCTTCTGTCAGAGAGCACCCAACATCTTCACCACCACTCACGGGCACGTGCAGGAAGCCGTCATGCGTGCACAGTACTCGAAAAGAAATTAAATATCAAATCATGCGAATATTATTTTAAAGATGTGGGTAGCTCACTGGGTAACACTTTGGCTGGTGGGTTTGGGCCCCATCACCTCTCAGTTCATGTTTGTGCATCACAGTCATGTTTTTATGGTCTTCCTCCTATGACTGACTCACAAGATTAAGATGAATTTATATTGCTATATTACCCTTACTGTTTGACAATTTGTGTCCGGCAATGGTGTTTATTGGTCCCGCTGGGCAAATTGCCTTTCACCTACCCTGTCCTGCTCCCCAGGTGACACACAGGCATATATAGAGATGAGAACAAGCTTGGAGGTCACAGTGCAGGGTCATCCGGTGTGCAGTACCTCACGAGCAATTGGGGGTTAAAGGTCTCGCTCAAGTGGCATCAATAGGCTAGCTCTGGGATTCAAGCTATCGACATTCTTACTGTGGGTACAAAGTCCTAACTTGCTGAGCTGAGTGCAATGAATTAGCAGACCATCGCCTTAACCAGTCAGCCACCTTGTTCTGCGGCATGAAAGATAGATGATATGAGAATATACCGTGTGTCATGGTGTTACACGCCAGCTGAAGAGGCAGCAACAAAAAGAAGGGAAGCGATGAGCAGGGTTCAGTAGCCGGTGCTTTTATTTTTAGTCTGACAGCACAAACGGGGCGGCAGTAGTCGGTGACGGCGAGCTGCCCCCGCTGCCACAACTGGGGCATCTTCATAGCCCAGGATGGGGGCGGACTCACGGCAACAGGGAACCTGGGTGATTCACATCAAAAACTACTGCTGTAATCACCTGCAACTACACGCTCAGCAGCAGCGTACACTGGGCAGGCCAGAGGGCTGTCACACAAGGACGATGTAGTCAATGCTAGTGCCATGATTTGTATGCAAAGGGTACACATGGGTGTTAAGGTTATCTATTGTCATTTCCTGTAAATTGGAACATGTATATGTGTTCATGATAAATATAGGTCATATTACATAGGATTTAAATTTCTTTGTACCAGGACTTAAAATGACTATTAAGTAACCAGTTTCCCACTGGCTTCTTGGGTCATGCATCATCATGGTGGCAATGAATCATATGGTCATAAAACCCTTCCCTTGTTTACGGTGAATAATTTATTGTCAGACTATGTACTCTTAAAGACTACTGTACAACAACTATTATAATTCACATGGTGATTAAAACTAGCAGTGTGTGTATTTAAATTAAAGCGGCATACAGAAGGACACCTCGTCACCCCATCCTGCCGGCTGCTGCAGGAAAGGCACGCCTGCTCCTCTGCATCTGTTAGATGTCAGATACCCTGTTCTCCCCACAGTGCAATGCAGCCACAGTCTGCAAAATCCTTGGCCTTGGAAGGGGAGTGCCATTTTGCATTGCATATTTTGGGGTGAAAATTTTAGATGAGGCACAGAGTTGGTCCCCCAAATGTATATGCCTGTGAAACATGCACTCGCATCTGAATATTTTCAACTATACCAGATTCTTGTAAGACCAAAATCTCATGCTCCGGTAACCAATACAACAACAGGTGCATTGCAAGTCAGCATGCAGGAGGGCCTGAGAGATCTTTCAGATCGTTCAGATCTTTAAAAAAAACCGTAAGCAAGAAAAACTGGAACATCGCCAATGTCCCGTAGGTCAGAAGGTAGTGGCATCGTCATAAGATGGATAAAACCGGTTTGTATCGCTTTAACACCCTCTGACGTCAGCCTGATGCAGATCTGCCAGCTGAGAAAGACTTCATGGGGGGCGGAGGGGGGGATAGGAGGTGGAAAACAGTACGTTTTTTCGCTATATTGAAGCCGGGAAGCCAGTGGTACCCAATTTCCGCACAAGAGGGTTATGATCACCCTTATCAGGTGTAAAATGAGAGCGGGGAACGGTTAATGGGCGCGATCATAACAGTGAGCCAAGTTGCGTGTATTATTTATTATTTTATTAAGTATAAATGTAAAAATGCAACAACAGGTTAGATGGGTTGCTTTTTAATGGATCGTTTAGTGAAAGGCAGTTGCTACCAGGGACTTGTGCGCGCACACGCGCATTCCCGTTAGCGCGGGGAAAGGCGGTGGGGGGTGGTTGAGGGAGAGAGAGAGAGAGAGAGAGAGAGAGAGAGGCACAGCATCTTTCCGGAGCGGGGAGCCAGGAGAGGAGCGAACCTTCACAGCGGAGCTTTGAATGCGATCGACGCGGGTTCCCGATTCACACGCCGATGGAGCCGCAAAATGAGGCGATGATGGATCTATAGCCGGCAGCGATCTGATATTTGCTTCAAGAGCCTCGGACGGCGATAGCCCGACAAGACGGGAAAAGGGGAAAGATTAAGAGCTGGAGGAGACCGATCGGACGACATAAAATCCGCAACTGACGCGCTATTTTTGTGAATTAATTGAACTGAAAAGCAGAGGACGGTTCCCCGTTACATGTATTGACTTTATTTTTAATGCGCCGTACACACTTTCATCTGCCGTCATTTCATTTCTCTCCTTGCTCCTGCAGCCTGTTGTAAAATGTGGTGAGATCACGGTCTTACGGCCGGGATAGAGAGAGACGGGTGTTGTCGGAAAAAAGGGGGGAAGGAAAGAGGTCCTAGTGAATAAGCTCTTTAAAAAAGGGTCGCGGGAAGAACATGATTTGATGTGAATGCATAAGACGCGTTTGCACAGAGTACTGCTTTTTACGACGGAAGGGGATGGTGTAGAAACGGGCACAGTCCTGAAAAGCGGCGAAAGCAAAGGATATCTTTGAAAAAAATCTCAAAAGCAGTGCAAGCCTTGGTGGAAACCAGTGACTTTACGGGTAAGAATAATTTCCCCCTTTTTGCATATTGCAAGCTCAGTCGTGTTACGTTACATTTGCGGGCACGTATTTCACAATAACGCCTGTTTATCTGCGCGTAAGACCGTCGAAATATCAGTGTCTTGTGGACCTACGCCGCCGTGATGTATCTTTCCTTAATTGGCAGGTGCAGCAGTCCGACAGTGATCCATTTTGTCTTGGATATGGTGTTAAGAAGGAAACCGGGTGTTCGTTTGTCGCCACCGTGTTGTTCTTCACGGAGAAGGCTGTGCAGAAAAATATCTCAAGATTTTATTGACAGAGGAGTGCATCCCATATTTCTGTAATTAAGACCTAATCAGTATATGTTTTGCAGCTGGCTTGTTTTTGTATTCGCCTTGTAAGGTGTACCGATTGGGAAATGCACTTTCATTTTGGCAGTCGCTGTCGCCTTATTTAATAATTACCCCCGCATCCCTTGACAGTTAACAGTAGTGCTCTTGAATGCGCCGTTCTCCTCGCCATAGGGCTGTATTATAATCCGTGTCACGCTATCAATCCGTAATCTCGCATTGACTTTAGGTTGATTTCTGCTATTTATGGTTTACCTCAACACCGTGTGACAGAAAGTGGGGGGGGGATACATGTTGAGTTGCGAATTGAGTCCATCGGCTGCCCACAAATACACACAGACACACACACACTTACGCACATTGCAATCTGTTGTAATCCCACATAACTGTCACAGCCTTATACCCGCACATACCCTTCTTCACGCACATGCCGTGTATCGATCATCTCTGCGCCTCCGGCCCGCTCCTACCCTGCACAGGTGTGGCCACCCTAGCTGGTGCCTGCACGGGGGCCGGGGCACCTTTGTGTGCCCGACAAGCTGGGGGCCTTTCAGACTCCCCGGCACAGACAAGAAGACCTCTGTCCCCAGCTGAGGGACTGGAGCAGTACTCTGATCCCCAGCCTAGCCCGAGCACAGATGTGTGTGGCACTGTTCTGCTTGTCACGGTTAATACATGGGAAGTGCATTAAGGAGCTCCTAAACACACTAATATGCCGAATGGGGCCTCCATGTGTGCATCTGTGCTCCTGTATTCATTTTTAGGTGTCCTATATTTATGCGAGTTAATGTGCTGTTGTATATTTTCAGTATGTCTTTGGGGTGCGAGTGGTAGCGAGAGAAGCAGAAGCTGTTGCTTTTCTCTGCCATTATTTTTTTCTGGGAGTCATTGAATCTTTATTCAAGATTCTTGATTAAGATCAAGAAACAGAGAAGCATCTCCCATATAGCATAGTACCAATACCAATGTCAAATATGAAATTAAATAGGGAGAAAAAAACTGTATAAATATATCTATATGTTATATCCACACAGTGTGTGCACTGTGCACTGTGATCATGAGCAATTGACGTAGTCAGTAAAATGAGATAGTTTTGTTGTTCAAGGTGCAGGTGCTGCAGTGCATACAGTGCAAGAGACAAAGTTCAAGTTCCAGCCTGAATAACCATTTTTTGTTGAAGTTTGGTGGGTTTAGTGAATATATGTGTGTGTGTGTGTGTGTGTGTGTGTGTGTGTGGGGGGGGGGGGGTGTACCTGGAAGGTATCTTTACTGGGATGCTGCTTTTGGCAGGTACCACTTGTCAGAAGAAGACGGTGTCAGACTTAGATGTTGCTGGGACTCCTGCTGTCTCACTTCAGTCGACTGTAGTCCTTCTCAGACTTCTGCAGAGCTCTCCGTTGCTGGCAGTCGTGACCTCACATGCGTTTACGAAATGGCTGGTGGGGTGGGGGAGACGTGCTTGTGGCTTGTCTGTGCCGTCCTCCCAAGGCCCATCCCTCTGCCTCCCTGGGTCTCTTGCGATCTTCACCATAAGGTGAACGTCATTGGCTGGATCATCCATCAAGAACAAGGCAAAAAAAAACCCAAGATAAAACAGAATGTGAAATGGTGGTTTAATGGAGGCTGTCTGGCGTCTTCGCTCGCTGTCTGCAGGCTCTACGGGGCCAACTCTGTGCTTCATCCAAAACCTCTATGGTGGGCCGATTAAGCCAATGTCAGCAGTGGGCCTGGCAGCTCGCGATTCGGAGGTGGTTCGAGGTTTGATTTGACTCCATGCCAGGGGAGATTAATGAGAGCACAGGCAACAGAATCGGAGGGCACCTGTGTACATTTTGAACAAGTGTGGGCTTTGCTGACATCTGTGGGAACGAGCTTTGGAAAGCGGAAGGAAGAAGCCAGGAGATGGGGTCGTGCATTTCAGTCACTGACTCCTCCTGGGCATTATGAAGTGCAGCAGAAACGATGCATTTCTACTCCACATTTGTCTGCTGAGAGAACATATAGTCTGTAGTCGCAGATGACATGTTTTTCAAATAAATAAAAATAGCAGCAATCTCTGTGCTGCAGAAATGTTTTTTTTCCCAGTCATTTCAAGCCAAAATTTGACAAAACAGAGGATAGTTTTATTGCAGCACAATGAGTGGTCATTAATTACACAGAAATAATTTGTTAGTCCAAGAACGCCGTTTTTATGAAGGACGTAATTGTGGCTGGTGAGCTAGCTGAAGACTTATGAAACGGATGGTTAATACGTCATCTTGCTGATCTAATGGCCTTTGAGGTGCCAAGACATAGCATCCCAAGCTGACGGCTCATTGGCTGTGTTTTGAGAGCTGGATCCGCCACTACTTAACATCCGTGTTGCCTTGATGGAGGTATGCTTGTAGTGGGAGCAGGCAGGAAGGAGAGTGAAGGAACATGGAACATGGAGGGCTCTGGGGGTCAACCAGCAAGGGTCCCAGAATGTAACATGACAGGGACTGGCTGGGCGTGCTTCAGACTGCTAGTGAGACCACCCATTCCCTAAACCACACTGTTTACAGTATGAGTCTGTGTCAATCACTGCTTGAATCCTGTCATTTCAACTGTTGGTATCATTTTAAACAAGGGTTCTTTCTGGCTAACTGGGGGGGGGGGGAGTCTTAATGGGGTGTAATAAGAAGAAATTAACCTAAAACCAGTGACTCTGGGTATGGCTGCCAGATCCTCAAAGAAAGGCCTTTTGCATTATTGAGTATCCATAACAGTTGGTGAGTCCAGTACAGGTGCTGGCGAATTATACATTCTTTTATCATTATTATTGTTATTATGGGAGTTAAGCTCTCACTTTGCATGGATGGCTGTTAACGCCATCGTTGAAGTCAAGGGGCAGATGTTTGCCTATGGGCGAGGGAGCCTCTCAAATGTATCAGATAAGCCAGGGTCTGGCAGTGTGCGCCTCAGGGTTCATGGGCTCTCAGCCAATCACGCGCTGCTGTCCCTCCCATCATTCTCGGCTCTTGCCGTGCGATTGGACCACTGGAGCAATGCCGACCCACCAGCTTCTGACCGTGATTGGCATTTGGAGAGATAGCACTTGTGTGATAGGTTCCTGCCCCTGCACCCCCCAATCTCTTTGTTCAGAAAACTGGTGGTAGGCAGTTCTGATCCGTGCCCCGCGATGGCTACGGAGATGATGGCCGGATGGGGGCTCACACATTGCCTGCACCTTGAGATGAAACGGGCTCTTCGACTTGGATCCAAACTCCAGGGAATATAAGAAAGAGGGAAGAAGAGAGAAGGGGAAAATAGCAGCTTGAGTAGTCAGCAGATTCCTTACTCTTCTGATGAAAATAAAGCCCATCTGGGGGGGAGAAAGCCATGATCACTTTTGCTGGAAAGCATTCAGAGCCATGGCTGCGGGGGTAGATAGGGGTAAATAAAGGGCTTTTTTTTTAATCAGGTGAACTGAAATTGATGGGAGAGAGGAATAAAGAAAGGGGGGGAACGCGACTGTCAGGGTGGGTCATCAGCTGCTGCTTTGTGCAGGTGAGACAGCGTCCAAGGTCAGAAAGCAGCTGACAAGTATCGTTCGGGGGGGGCGGAGGGGTGGTACCCCTCACTTTACAGACATGAATTTACTGGATGACTGTTCCGAGTCACGCACATGCTCTGTTGAACGGTAACTGAGATGTTGCTGCTCAGCGGTCTGTCAAGGAGGTGACAGCCTACCCTGTAGAAGGGGGAGGCAATCATGTGACACGGGGGGTGGGCTGGAGGTCTGTCTGTCCAAGGAGGGCCATGTCTGAGGGGGGATCATGCAGGCAGGGTGTGGGTTGGTCTTCCTTAAGGGTCCCTGGGGGAGACTGTAGCCATGGTGATGGTTTGATATGTTGAGTCAGACTTCAGGGAGTCGTTGGGGGGGTAGGTTGTGTGTGCAGGTTGACATGAGGCACTGTCATGCACTTCACACCCCTGTGTGGTTTGTGTGGGGGATTCTGCTTTCTTCCCTCTTAATTAACCCATTGATTGGGGGGGGGGTGTCTTGCTTCTTCAGAAGGTTTGATTTCCCATATTACAGCTTTTCCCATGATGCAGTAACTCTCGCATCTCTGACCTACTGAACCCGGTGGAGGTAGTGGAAGGCACAGGCACTGTGGACAAAATGGCTTTGTGTCAGGGACTGACCCACCACCTGCGCATCCTTCTGGTTTGTTGTCGGGCTGTTTTCCGAACTGACGGGGCCCAATTTCAAGTGCTGAAATGCACGTTGTGCCTGTTGATGCTTCCCGGACCCTTTTGCCACCCCCTGCCATCTCGACAGGACCCCACCAAGTCTTGATGGAGCATGCCTACCATCTAACTGGAACAGAGTCGTCAATGTGTAACTGCTGGACTTGGCCAAAGACGAGGGTGATCTAAGTGCAGACATCAGGGGCGTGCGGCTGCCCCCCGTGGAATGTGGTGGTGTGCAAAAGCTGACGTCCATCACGCCGCTGGTCCTGGCACGCTGCCATTCAGGGAAGATCCATCTCTGAGGAATCATTCCCAACAGGGGCTCTGGCACCTGACTTTTCAAATTATATCCGGGTTGTTTGTCTCGTTGTTTCCTTTATGTGAAACCCACGGAAAGGGCCTTCCCTGGGGGGCACATAGGGGTTTGGGTGAACAAAATCAAGGCTGTCTAAC